AAAATTGTTTGTTATCTTCTTGCTGTTTATGTGACTTTGCTGTGTACAAACTGGCAGCTGCATTTCCTTTATTACAACAATGACATGACTACACTTCAAAAGTATTTCATTGATCCTGAGGCTGTGAACAGTTGTACAGAAATGCAAGTCTTTATCTAAAACTCCTTGTTTCAATTTCTAGATTGGCCATAGTGTCAATAATTGTGATGGTGTATTTGGGGTTTTGGTGACACTTGATGGCCATCAATTGTACTGCATTATAAACATATACATTCCTTTCACTCATCACTGCCCCAAGCCAAAACCTACCTTTGGCTTCTCATATCAGAAATGTGATTATTGTTGAGTGGAGATAACACTGATGACTTCACAATTTACTCCACTTCCCTGTCACACTGTTTCATAAACATCTATAACTAAATAAGAAGCAAACATTGGGAAGACCAAACCACTGTCTACAGCCACAGCACAAACTCTACTTCCCATCAGATTCCATCTTCCTAACTTGTTTGAGGCTGAATCATACTGTTCAGAACCTTGGTGCGTATTTAACACTAGGATGAGCTTCTGACTTCATATTCATGCTATCACCAAAATCATCTACTTCCATCTCTATAAAATCACCCTTCTTCACACTATCACACCTCATTTATTATTGAAACTTTCATTTACACTCATTTTATCTCTGACTTACCTGTCCCCATGCCCTTCTAGCTGGCCTCCCATCTTCTACACCTCATAAATTTGAGATTGGCTAAATCTCTGTGGACCATATCTGAATTCACATTGAGTCCTGTTTATCCATCATTGTGGTACTCACTGACCTACATTATCTCCTGATTTAAAATTTTTATCCCAGTTTTAAATTACTCTGTGGCATTGCCCCTCCCTATCTCAATAACATTTGACCTAAGGCTTTGAAATACACTACATAAATGCATTTTTTCTCCATCTTTTCTAGACTTGATCACCCAGGTTCAGCATAGTCATTATGTTTCACAGTACAGGTGTTCTGTTATCTATTTTCACAACCTTGAAGATTTGTTTTATTTAATAACTCATGAGATGTGGAAGTCACTGGTGAGACCAGCGTTTGTTGTCCATCTTCAATTTCCCTTGAAAATGTGATGATTGCTACCTTCATGAAACCTCACATCCTTGTGATGCAGGTAACAGCAATGTTATTGGAAAAAATTCTATGATTTTAAACCAGTGAAGGAATCTGATGTAATTACAAGGGCATGGTGTCTTACGGAACAGATTGTACAGAAGTGAAAATATGTCGGGGGTTCCAGAGCCTAGTGTTCAGGTAGTGTAAGATTTTCTTGTAATTACTGCACCTCTTGGTGGCCAGAGTGGTTTGTAGCTTGGAAGAAAGGTTATAAATGTCAGTGTTCCTATGCCTCTGGCACTACTGTTCTTAAAGGTGGTGGACGTCACAGGTTTCTAAGAGGTTGTGGAAGGGGCCTTGATGAGTTACAGTGATACATATTGTAGATTGTACACAATGTTGCAATTGTGCATGAGTGGTGGAGGGAGAGATGTTGAAGCTGGCATGAAGAGTGCTAATGAAGCAGGCTGTTTTGTTCTGGATGGTGTCAAGCTTGCTGACTGCTATTGGAGCTGCACTCATCTAAGCTAGTAGGAAGTGTTCTATCACACCACTGACTTGTATCTTATAGGTAGGCTTCCAGGATTCAGGACGTGAGACATTCATCACAAAATGAAGTTGAAGAACTATATCCTGCATATGAATCCATTTCCAAACCTTGTACAATCCAAGACCAGTCAAACAATACAAATAAAGGGGAATACTTAGCAATCAATGCAACAACAAAAAATTGTATTTAAATATTGCTTTTAATATAGTAAAATTAATCGAGATTCTTTGCAGGAATGTTAATAAACACAATTTCACACTGAGCCACTTGTGTATGACAGATGACCAAAGGTTTGATCAAAGAGATGGGTTTTAAGCACTGTCTTACAGAACAGATTGTACAGAAGTGGAACTATGTTGGAGATTCTAGAGCCTAGTGTTCTGGTAGTGTAAGATTTGCCACCAAGAGGTGCAGCACAAAAAAAACTGGAGACAGAAACATTAGCAGCAGAATTTCCAGCCATTCTTACAAGGCAATTATTGCAAAACAAATGTTTCACTCAGATGGAAGAGATTGAGACACACATAGTGATAGCCACGGTAAAACAATTTCAGTGAATATGCCATTTGTAAATAACAGGCACAGAATTCAAAATGTTAGCACTGTCTAAAATATGTAACATGACAGGTTGAAGTAAGGAAGTGACCTGACTAATGAATGAGGCATTAGCCAAGTGTTTTAATCAGTTATAGCTTTGTCCTGTATTTTGAAATACTAGCTGAAATACTAACCTGCATGCACAAGTTATTTTATTTTCAAACAGCACTCTTAGAACACAAGACTTTATTGGTGATTAATGCTTAACGAAGGGCTTCGGCCTGAAACGTTGACTTCCCTGCTCCTTGGATGCTGTCTGACCTGCTGTGCTTTTCCAGCTCTGCATTTATCAATTCTAGCTTCCAGCATCTGCAGTCCTTACTGTGTGCATGGCAATTAATGCTTGATGGGTCAGCCAATCAGAACATTAAAAAAAATCATAATTTAGCTTTATTGCAAAGTAAAACTACAATACTGTAAAATAGTCTTCCAGTACAAATTATTTTATGACAGTGAATAATGTTTGGATAAGCAAGTTGAAGATAAATCATTAAGTTCTGGGTAATGGTCAGAGACCTGATTCACAGATTTAAACATTGCAATGTATTTAAGTCAAATTTCAAAGTTCAAGGTAGGTTAAAGCACAAAAATGTTCATAAAAATTCAGAATTTGCAAATGCATGTGCGTGGAGTTTCCATTTTGTCAGAAAACAAACAGTTACCTTCAGAATGTGCTTGAAATTAAAATGTTTATTAAAGGCTTTAACCTGTTCAGACATATAATTGCATACCTTTGGAGTAAGTGGGACTTGAACCCAGCTTCCTGGCTCAAAGACAAGAGCACTACCACCATGCCACAAGAGCCCTCAGTTTCTGTTGTAATGATGCAGATAAATCAAACGTTAAGGCAATTACCACTGGCACCATGTTGTATGGTCAAGTAAATTGCCATCACCACCCCCTTTTCTGATTAGTTCTGTACTTGGTCCTTTTCCCCACTCAAATCCTTATGATATCATCAGATTGGGTGGATTTTCTTAACTCATTAGTGGGACATGGGCATCGCTGGCTGGCCAACCTTTATTGTCTGTCCCTGGTTGCCCTTGAGAAGGTGGTGGTGAGTTGCCTTCTTGATCCGATGCAGTCCACATGTTGTAGGTTAAGTACAATGCCACTGTGGAGGGAATTCTAGAATTTTGACCCAGTGACAGTGAAGGAACGACAATGTATTTGCAAGTCAGGATGGTGAGCGGCTTGGAGGGGAACTTGCAGGTCATGGTGTCCACACGTATCTGCTGCCCTTGTCCTGCTGGATAGAAGCAGCTTAAGGATTTTTGGCGAATTTCTGCAGTGCATCTTGTAGATAATACACACTGCTGCTACTGAGCGTCAGTGATGGAGGGAGTTCATGTTTGTGGACGTGGTGCCAATCAAGAGGGCTGCATTGTCCTGGATGATGTCAAGCTTCCCGAGTGTGGTTGGAACTGCAGCCGTCCACACAAGTGGGGAGTATTCCATCATGTTCCTGACTTGTGCCTTATTGATGGTGGGCAGGCTTTGGGAAGTCAGGACGTGAGTTACACGCTACAGCATTCCTAACTTCTAATTTGCTCTTCTAGACACTGTGTTTATGTGGTGAGTCCAGTTAAGGTTGTGGTAAATAGTAACTCAAAGGATATTGATAATGGGGGATTCAGTACTAGTAACACCATTGAATGTCAAGGAACAGTGATTAAATTGTCTCTTATTGGAGATGGTCATTGCTTGGTGAAAATGTTACTTGCAACAATTTATCAGCCCAAGCCTGGATATTGTTCAGGTCTTGTTGCATTTGTACATAGATTGCTTCAGTGTCAGAGGAGTCGCAAATGGTACTGAACATTAAGTGAACAGCCCCAAATTTGACTGTATGATAGTGGGAAGATTGTGCGGGAGTACTATTCTGCTGTTGATGGCCCACAGCACCTCATGGATGTCCAGTCTTGAGTTGCTAGATCTATTCGTGGTCTGTCCCATTCAGAACAGTGATAGTTCCACACAATGCAGGTTATTCCCAATGTGAATGTGGGACTTTGTCTCCACAAGGACTGTGGAGTGGTCATTCTTACCGATACTGTCATGGAACCAAATCACAATTCTACGGTATTGACTCAGCAATAGTGATCCCCTCCTAATTGCGCAATGGTGTGTTTCAACATAACATGAACTGCAGCCGTTCAACAAGGCAGCTCATCACCACTTTTTCCGGGGCAATTAGAGAAGAGCAATATATATGGCTTTACCAGCATTACCCAAAAACCACGAACGAACTAAAAAAAAAACTGTCAGAAATGTGCAGCTGAGATAACAAGGTGTAGAGCTGGATGAACACAGCAGGCCAAGCAGCATCAGAGGAGCAGGAAGGCTGACGTTTCGGGCCTAGACCCTTCTTCAGAAACGTCAGCCTTCCTGCTCCTCTGATGCTGCTTGGCCCGCAGTGTTCATCCAGCTCTACACCTCGTTATCTCAGATTCTCCAGCATCTGCAGTTCCTGCTATCTCAGAAATGTGCAGCTTTTGTTTGAGGAATGCCCAGAGCAAACCAACATTCCAGTTCCACGTTCTGACCTGGGGAATTCTAAACTCTCGTAAAGAAGGTGGAGCTCACAACAATTTCAGATCACAAACTGCTCCCTTCTGCTGTCGGTTACAAATCTTGGCGAATTCTCACTGCTGCAAGGTTCATCGTGAAAGTTTCTCTCCGATGTCGTTTCTTCATCACGGGCGTAAGTCGGAGAAACTGAAAAAGACAACGAGATCTCGTCTCCGACATAACAAAGACATGACACCGCTGCGCCCCGCCCCCAGCTCCAGGACTGTAGCTGGAGGACTCATCCAGTATCCCAGAGAGCAATGTGAGCTGCGCAGGTGACGTGTCGGGTATTGTGACGTGTTGGTGGGGATGTGTGTGTGAGAGAAAAAAGGCTTTGATGCGCACGCAGCCAGGGAGGGCCGGCGGCCGACAGTGAACACCGGCGAAGGTGAAGGTGAGGGTTATGGCGCTGGATGTTTTCAAGTTTCATTCATCGATTGCGGTGCTGTCGCTGCTGGCGGCCGCCCTAGGCATCTCTAAGGGATTTTACCTTCCGGGCTTGGCCCCTGTCAACTTCTGCGAGCTGGAGATCGGTGATTGCAAGGTAACCTGCGGCGAGTCTACTTCCTTACCGTCACCAACCGCCAACCCTCTTAGCAACAGCCTTCTCGGGGGGTGGGGGATGAGAAGGAAGGGAAAGTTAAAAACCTCTCGGAGTTCGCGGTGTCAAGATTTCAGTCCCGCCAGCCGTAAACCCCCTGGATTAAACTTCGGCTCTCAAACGCTGCCCGAGAGAACAAACTTTCCAGAAGACAACTTTTAAACTTTCCCAGCTACAGTCAGTTCTGAGGAAGGGTCATCGGACCCGAAACGTTAACTCTGCTTTCTCTCCACAGATGCTGCCAGACCTGCTGAGTTTCTCCGGCAATTTCTGTTCTGTGAGAGAAGGAGGCTAATTCGACAGCTGTCAGAGGGCCAGTACAAGCAGATGGCCCGAATTACTTCCATTGCCACACATAGAAGACTTTTTATCGCCAGCTCACCACAAGCTCGGAGGGTAAATGTCAACAGCCCTTCCAGAACCCGAGCTGGTCCAATTCATTCTTGGCTGGTCTGCCAGCCTCTTTAAGTTTGGGATCATTCAAAATTCTGCTGAAACTTGCATACAGTCCCATTCGTCCATCGCCCCAGTCCTTCTTGTCATACATTGGCTACCTGGTTTTTACAGAATTCCTTCTTGATCTCATCCTCCTCCCTAGCACTGTAATCTCCTTCAGTCCCAGACCCCAGGAATGTGATGGAATGCACTCCACTCTTCTGAATGAGTGCAGTTTCCAATATTTAAGAATCTCAACACCAACCAGGACAAAGTATCCTGCTTGATTGGCACCCCATCCGTTACCTTCAACGGTCACTCACTTCAACACCAACACACAGAGGCAGCAGTGTGTTCCATTTAAGACATACACTACAATAACTCACCACAGCCTCTTAGCCCTTCCAAACCTGTGACTGCTACTCCATAGGAAGATAACTGCTGGAGATACGTAGGAACACTACCACCTTCAAGTTTCCGTCCAAATCCTACATCTGTCTTGAAACCGCATTGTTTTCGTTCAGTGTCCATTGGGTAAAAGTCCCGAAAATCCTTCCCGAACAGAACTGTACATCCCATGGACAGGTGGTTAAAGACAGCAGCTGACTACTGCCCCATCTGAGGCAATTAGGTAAGGGTACTAAATACTAGTGATGGCAGAATGCTGTGAATTAAAATAAAACCTCTGAATTATTTACACTCCTCCACTTCTGGCTTCTTATAATCCCCGGTTTCAAGTGCTTCCCTCTTGGCTGCTGTGCCTTCAGATACCAGAACTGTAATATCTGTAATTCCCTGACTAAATCTCACCATCTCTCCATCTCAATGACTTCATGTAAGGTGCTCCATAAAATTTGTCTGTTTTGGCAAGCTTTTATATCACTGTATTTAACTCTGTTGTATTCTGTTTGTTAGTGTCTCCATGTAGTGGCTTCATACGTTTTGTTATGCTATAAAGGTGTGAGTGTTTGAATGTGTATAATGTTCAATTTCAATAGTTTGTTCTGTGATGGTTTTTGGTTTTAACCAAATTGGTTTTCCAAGGTTCTTTGTGCTCAGAGTAGCCATTGATCAGTGGGTCGCACTGGCCTTTTCACTCAGATATTTTTCGACACTCTAGAGACCTGAGAACCAAATTCTGGCTGATGTGCCCCCAAAACTGAGGGAATTGTAATGGAAGTAGTATAGTCTTCTGGAATAGATATTAAGTTAAGAGCCCCTCAACCCTCTCGTAGTTATAATCACCCCATGCCACATAAATCAAAGAGGAACCATGGCATTCTCCCAATTATCATTAGCAATGTTCACCTCTTGACCAATATTCTTCAAAAAGCATTGATCATTTTATAAAATGTTGTGTTTGTGGGATCTTTCTGTGTACAAATTATCTGCTGCAACCCTGACTTCTTAACATTTATAAGTATTTCAAAAATACTTTGTTGGGCTTGACATATCCAGAGATTGTAAAAATGCGCTATACTTCTATTTCTTTGGATGTGAATTAGGCTTCATTAAATATTGCAAGCAGAAGGAATAAGCTCAGGATGAAAAAAGGGAGGATATGACCTGAAGTACCTGTTCTGCAACATTATCTATGAGCAGCTGAGGTGTGTAATTCAAAGTTTACCAAAGGCATTTCAAAATTGCATATGTACCTGTAAGGTGAATATTTGTGTAAAAGTCAGTCTTTGACAGAAATTTATTATGGATATTTGGCTTAAAGTACAGAATGTTTCATAGACCTTGTGTAAAAGTTTACCTAAGTTTTCAGGGATCAAACTGTTGCAATTAATGCAAGAACAAAAGAAATAAGAATGGGAGTGGCCAAACAGCCATTTGAATTCACTTCACCAGTGAGATCGTTGCTGATCTTCCATTTCAACACTGTTTTCCTGCACTGTCCTGTCTTTGCTTGATGTTTTTATCTATTAATTGAAAGATGATGGCCCAAGGCTATTATTGTTAGACTGTTAATCTAGAAACTCAGCTAATGTTTGGGGCACCCAGATTCGAATCCTGCCAAGGCAGATGGTGGAATTTGAATTCAAAAGAAAAATCTACCAATGATCATGAAATCATTGTTGATTGACAGAAAAGCCCATCTGGTTTACTAATGTCCTTCAGGGAAGGAAATCTGCCATCCTCACCTGGTCTGGCCTACATGAGACTCCAGATGAATAGCACTGTGATTGACCTCACTTACCCTCTGAAATGGCCTAGCAAGCCATTCAGTTATACTAATTGCTACAAATTCTGAAAGAAATGAAACTGGACAGATCACCTGGCATCAACGTAGGCACCGGAAAAGACAATGGCAGAAACCGCCCTGTCGACCCTGCAAAGTCCTGCTTATGAACATTTAGAAGCTAGTGTCAAAATTGGGAGCGCTGACTTACAGACTAGTCAAGCAACAGCCTGACATAGTCATACACCCAGAACCATACCTTACAATGCCCCAGACATCACCATCACCTTCCTAGATGAGGTGTCAACCTCGTGAAGCCACCAAGCAGCATAAGCAGCAAGTGATAGAGTTAAGTGATCCTACAACCAACGGATCGGATGTAAGCTCTGTAGCCCTGTCACATCCAGTCCTGAATGGTGGTGGACAATTAAACAACTCACTGGAAGAGGAGGCTCCACAAATATCCTCATCCTTAATGATGGGAGAGCCCAGCACATCAATGCAAAAGATAAGGCTGTAACGTTTGCAGCAGTCTTTGGCTAGAAGAGCTGTGTGGATGATCCATCTTGACCACCTCCAGCAGTCCCCACCATTACAAGTACCAGTGTTCAGCTAATTCAATTCACTCCACATGATATCAAGAAATGGTTGGAGACAGGCTCTGAAAATATTCCAGCAATAGTACTGAAGTTTGTGCTGCAGAGCTTGCCACTCCCCCAGCCATTGTGTTCCAGTATAGTTACAACAACGTGGAAAATTGCCCAGGTATGTCCTTTACATAAACAGCATAAGCAGCAAGCAACAAATCCAACCCGGCCAATTACTGCCCCATCAGTCTACTCACGTTCATCAGTAAAGTGATGGAAGGTGTCATCAACAGTGCTATCAAGCAGCACCTGCTCAGCAATAACCTGCTCAGTGACGCCCAGTCTGGCCACAACCGGGTTACACCCATTGGAAGATAAAGTGAGGGTGATCAAGGGTGCCCTGGCTCCAACGTCTGGACCAGAGCTCAGGTCTTTCCTTGTGTTGGTGAATTATAATGGAAAATTCATATGTAACCTGGCCTCCATCTTGGCACCCTTACACCTGCTATTGAGAAAGGGTAAGCCTTGGAAATGGTCACGTAGCCAAGCAGTAACCTTTAGGGAAGTGACAAAGCAGCTATTACTATCTAAAGTGTTGACCCACTACAATGCCAAGTGAGATGTGGTGCTGAGATTCACTGCCTCCCCAAACAGTAATGGTGGCCCAACAGAGAGGAACACCTGATGGCATACATTTCCCAGACTTTGGTTGATGCTGAACGCAAATACATCCAGATAGAGAAGGAAGGTTTGGCGGTCATTGTTGATGTGAGAAAGTTCCATTAATACCCTTTTTATGGATGTAAATTTGTAATATAACAGACCACAAACCCCTGCTAGGACTACTTAAAGAAAACAAGTCTGTGCCACCCATAACTTCTGCTTGAATTCAGTAGTGGGCACTTATTCTCAGTGCATATCATTACAAGTTGGAACACCATCTAGGGGGCTGAGCGGCAAATGCAGATGCCTTGAGCCGCCTCCCACAGCAAATACAACAACAGTGGTGCCTCCCCTGGAAAAGTCTGTTCTGGTTTTAAACTTTCTGGACACAATTCTGGCCACCACTGACAATATCTGACAGTGACACAGGATCCCATCCCAGCAAAACTAAAACAGCTGGTGTTGATGGGGGAAAGAAAAGGGCCATCATAACCAGAATTGAGACCTTTCTGGATCCTCGAGACCAGATCACCATAGAAGATGACATATTACTTTGGGGAGCAAGAGTGATTGTCCTGAGTAAAGGTTGCTGCCAGATACTGGCTGAACTCCTCCAGGGTCACCCAGGGGTTTCCAAAATGGAAATGTTGGCATTTCCATGATTGGTGGCCAGGATTGGATGCTGACAAAGCTGAGTTCATGGGGCAGTGCCCAGAGTGACAAGAAGGACGCAAATTACTGCCGGAACCCCCCCCTCCACACCTTTAGGAATGGCTGGGTAGACCCTGGACTTAGTTACACATTGACTATGCCGGTCCTTTTATGGGCTCAAAGTTCTTCATAATTGTGGATTTCCATACAAAGTAGTTGAACATGCATAGAGTTCATTTAACAAATTCAGGGATGACGATTGAAAAGCTGCGAGCATTGTTTGCAATATACTGCTTCCTGGAAGTATTGGATGTGGACAATGGGACGTCATTTACCAGCAAGGATTTCAAGTATTTTCTAAAGTCGAATGGTATTCAGCATGTTCAGGTGGCTCCATACCATCCATCAACCAATCGTTTGGC